TTATGGCAACCGTAACAATTGAAGGGTCCCCCTGCCGCATGGAGATAGACTCTGGCTCCGCTGCCTCCATCATCTCAGAGGCCACGCTCAGGCAACTATGCCCCAGGGGGGGGCCGTGGCTGCGGCCAGCGCAGGTCACCCTTATGGACTTTCAGAGAAATCGGGTGCCCATAAAGGGGGTCGGGACTTTTAGAGTGCAATATGGACAGTTCCGGAGGAAGTTGGACTTGATTGTGGTCGCCGGCGACCTAGTGAGCCTGCTGGGGCGGGCATGGTTCGAGCCCCTGGGAATCACCGTCGAAGGGGTCCGACAGTGCGTCGCTCAGGATTTCAGAGGAATTTGCCGTGAATTCCCCGCAGTGTTCGACGACTCGCTGGGCAAATTTACGGGGGCCCCGGTGTCCCTGCGCTTAGATCCTAAGGTGGCCCCCATCCGTATGCGCGCCAGGACGGTTCCGCTGTCGGTCAAGCCTAAAATTGACACGGAACTGGACCGCCTAGTAGCACAAGGCGTCCTGGAACTGGTCTCCCACGCGGCGTGGGAGACCCCTATAGTCGTGGTGGAAAAGCCGAATGGGGCGGTCTGCATCTGCGCGGACTATAAATGTACTCTGATTAAAGCGCTACAGGACCATGCGTACCCGGTGCCTGTGGTTAGCCACGTACTAGCCACCTTAGGAGGGGCAAAGATCTTCGGCAAGCTTGATCTAGCCCAGGCCTATCAGCAGTTGCCAGTGGATGAGGCGACTGCCGACGCGCAAACGATAGTGACCCACCGGGGGGCATTCCGTGTGAAGCGTCTACAATTTGGGGTGAGTGTGGCGCCAGGATTGTTCCAGCAACTTATGGACTCTCTCCTCAAAGGGATTCTGGGCGTCACACCATTCTTCGATGACATGATGATCGCCGCCGCATCACCCGAGGACTTCGCAGACCGGCTCCGCACAGTGCTCCGCCGCTTCCAAGACGCGGGGCTTAAAGTCAAATGGGAAAAATGCCGGCTGGGGGTGCTGTCAGTGGACTTTTGGGGGTTTACGGTGGACGTGGAGGGCCTCCACCCGACTCGGGACAAAATAAAGGCAATAGTGAAGGCTGAAAAGGCCCTGGCCCTAGTTGAGGTGAGATGGACGTCCCTGGGGCCAGGGGCCACACTGGGACTGGAATGACAGCCCCCAGAGTAGAATGACAGTCCCTAGCAATAGAATCTGTGTTCTGGGACTGGAATGACAGGGCGCAGAGTGGAATGACAGCCCCTTGAAGTAGCAGCATCAGCATCCTGGGAATGGAATTCCACTCCGGGGGCCCTCATTCCAATCCCAGAATGCTTCTGCTACTCCCAGGGACTGTCATTTCACTCTGGGGGCTGTCATTCTGATATGTCCCTGGGAGAGCATTACACTCTGCTGATAGTATTTATTTATTTATATTTAAATTTATACCCCGCCCTACCCCGGAGGCTGGTAATCTGCTGGTGATCCCTGGCTCCGAAGATATTCGACTGTCCTCGACCAGAGCCAGGGCTTCCTTGACCCTGGCTCCAACCTGATGGAACTGTCTGCCAAATTCCATCAGGGCCCCGCGGGATTCAATGCAGTTCTGCAGGGCCTGTAAGGCAGAGGTGTTCTGCCAGGCTTTTGGTTGAGGACAGCAACAGTTTCCCATCATAGCTGGCACCCTCCTCTTTATGCCTACCTTGCCCACTTCAGCCTCCTCCTTAACCTGCCCATGAGATGGAAGAACAGCCCAGAGCAGGTTCTTAACGGAAATTAATACAAACACCATCTTGAAATTGAGTAATTGTGTTTAAACTGATTGTTGATTTTAATTTGTACTTTGTATGTTTTTAATCTGTTGTAAATTGCCTAGAGCTCTGTATACTCAGGGATGGGGCGATTCAGAAATCTAATTAACAACAACAACAGTTCCAGTCTCAGAGTAGTCTATCTGGGCCCAGAAACCTTAATGGGATATCCATTCCATATTTTATTTTCAACTGTGTATTCTAATAGAGTGGAGCTCAAGTAGTTTCACTTTCCAGTGTTTGTATGCCAGCTGCTGGAGTTGTCTCCTTGCAAATACAGGGTTGATGCTATGATCCATTTTGTCTCTGCAGAATGGACCTGAGAACGGGTGCCTGAGTGAGCACTCTAAACTAGGAACCCACAGCCAAAATGGGACATTACACTGGAGGGCCGCTGCCACTCTGAGAAGACCTGGTGGGGGGAGGGGAGAAGCTTGCAATGCCCAGCCATTTCATGTTTTCCTAGGCTTAGAGCATTTTATATTTTTTATTTATATTTTAGTTTCTGTTGTGATCCTTGTGCTTTTCTTTGATGTTTTCTTTTTAAAATTGCATTGCCAAATGCCACTGTTTCACCACCTTTCCATTTTAGACAGGCATCTTTTAAGGGGGGGAAGGTTTGGGAGGTGTAAGTTATCAAAAACTGTTAAATAAACAAAATATCTCAAGTGTTTTAATCATATTTGCATTTTAAGTAAAAAAATATCTTTGTGTTTGTGTCCTTTATAAAGTTAATGTCTTCGCTACCTGGCATTACATTTTATGACATGCATGACCTGGCCCCACAAAGTCCCATTTATGTCCAATCCAGCCCTTGTAACAAATGAGTTCAACACCCCCACTCCAAGGTATTCATTAACCCAACTAGTTTAGTATTATCTGCAAACTTGATGAGCACATTTTATACTACCTCATCCAAGTCATTTATAAAGCTATTAAACAGCACTGGGACCAAAATGGAATCTTGGGGTACCCCGCTCGTCGCTCCATCTGGGCTGATGGGGAACCATGAACTATCACCCTCTGGATACGATCTGCTTCATCCACCCAGCACGTCTCACCGGTTTCCCAAGAAGAATACAAGGGGCAAGGGACTTGAGTGGGTGGTGGCTTCCCAGCTGCCAGGTCTCTTGGAAGAGACTGATTTTCTAGACCCTTTTCAATTTGGCTTCAGGCCGGGCCTTGGAACACAGACGGCTCTGGTCACCTTGGTTGATGAGGACCTCTACCGAGAACAAGACAGGGGGAATGTGACTTTGCTAGTTCTGCTGGATCTCTCAGCTGCCTTTGACCCCATCAAACACAGTCATCTATTGAGCTGCCTTTCAGCAATGGGACTAAGGGACATCATGTTACAGTGGTTTGAGTCCTATCTGGGGGGGTCTTTCTCAGTAAACGGTGCTGGGGTATTCCTGCTCTGTCCCATGGCCATTGGCCCTGGGGGGTTCCACAGGGTTCAGTCTTATCCCCCCATGCTTCTTATTATCTATGTGAAGCAGCTGGGAGAGGTCACCAGGAGGTTTGGGCTGCAGGGTCACCAACATATGGATGACACCTAGCTCTACCTTTCTATTCTACCTAATTCCAAGGATGTTGTTGATGTTCTGAAGTTTGTGAGTTGGATAAGGTTGGACAAGGTGAAACTTAATCCTCACAAGCCAGAGATTTTCCAGGTTAGTAGAAAGGCAGACCTGGAACTTGAGATCTCTCCTGTCTTGGATGGGGTTATACTCCCTGTAAAGTACTCGGTTCGATACATCACGACTCGGACAATGACATAAGAAACACATGTTTACTCAGTACTCCACACTACAAAAGACAAAGACAAAGGGCCGTGTGGCCAACTATATACATATCCAAGGGAACACCCCTCGATCCCATTGGGGGGTTTGAATTCCCCTCCAAGGTTTCTATTGGTTCCCCTAGTGAACCTTAGGAGCCTAGTCTCTATTGTTCTTTAGGAATCAAGTTCTGCTCGCCTGGCCACCACCTCTTGGCAGTTCCCAGGACACAACACCTTTCCCCACATAGTCCGTCCCCACCTGGGTAACGTAGTCCTTTAAATACGCAGGGGCTTGGCGCTCTCGCAGGGAGCAGCAAGGAGTTGGCACCGGCACCGGCTCCAGGTTACCGGCGGCCGGCCCGGTGGACTCCATGGATCCGGTGGGCTGCGGTGCCGGCTGTGGAGGTGCTGCCCCTGTCAGCCCTGGGGTGGGGTCTCGCAGCTGGGTGTCACGGGTGCTGGGAGACTCTGGGTCCCCCTCTGCCTCTGGCAGGCTCACTGCCCCCACCTCTGGTATGGGGAGCCCTCCTTCCTGGTGCCATCTCAGCTGGTTGATGTGTTTGTTTAGTACTCGACCGTCTTCTGTGGAAACCTCGTAGGAGACCGGCCCGGTGACTCTCACTACCCTACCGGCTATCCATTCTGGCCTCGCACCGTAGTTCCTCAGGTAGACTAGGTCCCCTTGGAAGAACCCCCTTGGGGCGTCGCTTACCTCGACCATCTTCCTTGGTTCCGGTGCACGGTCGGGGTGCAGTCGGTCCAGCAAC